TGAGGTCTCGCCAAGTTGCCCAGGTGGGTCTCAAACCCGCGGGCTCAGGCAATCCACTCGTCTCGGCCTCCCAAAGTGCTGGGATTACAGGCTGAGCCACCGAGCCCGGCCTGTCCTGAAATCTTATAGCTCTGTTATGAAAGAAATTTGATAGAATTTTTGACACTACCAATAATGAGTTGGAAGCTCAAAGAAATTTGTATAAATCCTTCTAGTATTCAGTCATACTTGAAGAAAGACTGAGAGAAAGAATAGAAAACAATATTACAAAATCACTAGCATATGAAGATGCAATCAAATAATAAGCATCTAAGAAAAGGTAGAAAGTGAAAGTATTACAGAGGTGTGTCAGGTTCATTTACCACAAATCTTGTTATTTTTCTAGATTTTATAACATTTATATGTCCCGGCTGGGCTTGGTGGCTCAGCCTGTAATCCTGCGCCTTGGGAGGCTGAGGTGAGTGGATTGCTTGAGCCAGCGGGTTTGAGACCCGCCTGGGCAGCGAGACCTCATCTCTACAATAAATCAAAAAATTAGCCGGGCGTGGTAGCGCATGCCTGTAGTTCCGGCTACTCGGAAGGCTGAGGCGGAAGGATCGCCGGAGCCCGGCAGGTCGAGGCTGCGGTGGCCGGGAGCGGCCGCTGCACTCCAGTCTGGGCGACAGAGTGAGACTCCAACTCAAAAAAAAAAATTTATATGTCCCCTTTTAAACATTTGCCGCTGGTTGTGATTTCTCAATATAAAGACGTGAACTTTTATACCTAATTTTATATTCATAATTTTATTTTCACTTTTTTAATTTTTTGAGTGGGAGTCTCACTCTGTTGCCCAGGCTGGAGTGCAGTGGCACGCTCACAGCCACCCCGGCATCAACCTGCTAGGCTCCGGTGATCCTTCCAGGTAGCCAGAACTATAGGGGCTCAAACCCACGGGCTAAGGCAATCCACTCGCCTTGGCCTCCTAAAGTGCTGGGGTGATAGGCTGAGCCACTGAGCCCGGCCTTATTTTCACCTTCTTAAGGAGGGTGCCCCAATTTGTGTAACCCTCAGGATCCACAGAACCTGAATCTACCCCTAGTCTGACCACCACAAACCTTTCAGAACTCATCCTGTAGAATTAATGTATTAGTGATTGAATGTTTACTTGTATGTGTCTATGTTTCAAGAGACAGGAGCGTTGAGCTCACCACCGTAAGTCCAGTGTAGTTCTGGCCCATAGAAAGTACTTAGTGAATATTTGTTGACGATTCATTCCTTTATTGGTTTACCATTCTTTCATTTCAGCAAGATTTTTTTGGTTTGTTTTTTTTTCCCCCTGAATCACTCCCAGGCTGGAGTGCAGTATTACACTCATGGCCGCTGCAGTCACCACCTGCTATGCTCAAGTGATTCTCCCACCTCAGCCTTCCAAGTAGCTGGAGTTATAGGCATGCGCCATCACGCCTGGCTAAATTTTTTGGTTTATTGTTAGAGATGAGGTCTCACCAATTTGCCCAGGCTGGTCTCGAACCCGTGGGCTCAGGCAATCCTCTCACCTCGGCCTCCCAAAGTACTGGGATTATAGGTGTGAGCCACCGAGCCTGGTCTGATTTGTTTTTTTATAGACAGTCTTGCTCTGTTACTCAGGCTGGAGTGCAGTGATGCGAACAGAGCTCACTGCAGCCTTGAACTGCTAGGCTCATGTGATCCTTCTGACTCAGCTTTCCGAGCAACTAGGAGGACTACAGGTGTGTGCCACCATATTCAGTCAATTTATTCATATATATTTTTTTGTATATATGGATGGGGTGTCTCTTCTCATCTTGGCCTCCCA